CCTTAATTATCAAAACTACATGCCAATTTTCAACTAGTTTCCTTCAGTACCTGAGCAGCCATTGTGTACTCATATGTGAAGACTTCTCTCAGAAGTCTAAAAGCCTGCCAATGATAAAAGAATAGAATAAGAAGTAAACTATGATAAACTAGTCTCTCTCTCAAACTCATCTCCACTGGCCAGTCTCAACACTTGCCAACAGCTACCTCAGTTAAGAAAGATTAGTAATTACATGACTTGGGGACAACCATAAGAGTGGGAGATATAAACTTCTATCTCCAAATTTGCCAGAGCTCTACCTGGCAATCAAGGAGTGATGAGGAACAGGATCTCGCAATACAGGGTCATTCTGGAATTTGTTCCTGACTTAAATTCTAGAACACTATACCATGAAAGTATCAGGAAGTGGGTCCTATTGAACTGAGGGAAATCATGCTGCATCAATCAGGGCAAAGGCTAAATATGATAAATGGCAATAAAAAGTAAGCAGAAATCCCAAACCCTCAAATCTATAGAATCCATCCTTTGATCAAGGAAAAAGTACTGTGAGTTTACTAACGGCCTAGATCTCAAAATGTAGCCTCCTTAAACCCTTACCTTCATCCTGTTACCAGCCATGTCTAGATTCAAACCCTATGGCTATGACAAGAGAACACAGGAAAAGTTCCTCTTCTCCAAACTCATAGAAATAACACATTCTACCTAGGAAAATATAACAATTCCCATTACTATGCCTTTTCTAAATCCTTTGGATTTCGTCTTCATTTTTTTTAAAATATATTTTATTGATTTTTTTACAGAGAGGAAGGGAGAGAGAGAGCTAGAAACGTCGATGAGAGAGAAACATCGACCAGCTGCCTCTTGCACACCCCCTACGGGGGATGTGCCCGCAACCAACGTACATGCCCTTGACCGGAATCGAACCTGGGACCTTTCAGTCCACAGACCGACGCTCTACCACTGAGCCAAACCGGTTTCGGTTCGTCTTCATTTTTTTGAGTTTCAAATTCATGTAGAATTCAGAGTATTTTAAATATACTTTATCCTAAAGTCCTGAATGAGTACTTGGTAAGATTTTTAAAAAATGACAATAATCAATAATATATATATATATATTTTTTTTTTTTCACACATATATATTAAAAATACTTCTTAAACTTTAATATGCATACTGTGAATTTTTTTAAAATGCAGAGTCTGATTCAATAGGTCTAGTAGGGAAAGGCCTGAGAGTTAGCAGGTCTAAAGGATTCCCAGATGTTGCAAATGTTCCTGCTTCTCAGGAAACACTCTAAGGTTTGAAAAGACAATGGCACTGCCCTAGCTGGTTTAGCACAGTGGACAGAGTGTTGGTCTGCAGAATGAAGGGTCCCGGTTTCGATTCTGGTCAAGGACACATGCCTGAGTTGTGGGCTCAATCCCCAGTAAGGAGCATTCAGGAGGCAGCCGATCAATGATTCTCTTTCATCATTGATGTTTCTATCTCTCTCTCCCTTTCCTTTCCTGTCTGAAATCAATAAAAGTACTTTTTTAAATCCTATATAATAAAACTCTAATATGCAAATTAAACAACAGGCGAAACAACCAGTGGAACAACCAGTCGCTATGATGCGAACTGACCACTAGGGAGCGAAAAGCAGTGGCAGCACTGATCAGGGGCAGGGCCAGCCAGCAGGTGGCACCAGGCTGCCATCCAAGGCAGGTGCCAGCACACCCCCTCCCCCCCACAATCGCCCTGCACACCAGTCACCCCACAGATGACCCTGATCGCTGGCCAGGCCTAGGGACCCTACCCTATATATTGGGAACAGTGTCTTAGATTTAAAAATTAAAATCTGGTAAGGCTACTTAAACAATGAAAAAACAGGATGATGTAGTGATGACATGCATGAACTCTGGCTTGCACATTTTGTGGCCAGCACTGATTCTGACACTTGTAACTGTGTGACAAAGCCAATTACTTCACTTCTCTCTGCTGAAAATGGTACTACTCCCTCAGAAAGATCATGTTATGTACTACTTTTTATTATCAGGGCAAAAAAAATGTAGCTGCCCATACAACAGCAAGATGCCTTTCACCTGTTTGAAAAGTATGATCACTAGTGCATGCAGCATCCCGGATTGTGAGAAGGATGTCCGCCTGCCAGTTTAGGCCCATAAACCGGCAACTGGACAACCCCTGAGGGGTCCTGGATTATGAGAGAGACCCTCACCCCCTTCAACCACCTCCCCCACCGTGTGTGAATTTCGTGTACCAGGCCTCTAGTAAATAAATAAAAGACAATGGTACCTATATACACAGGTTATCTCCAAAGACACAACCTTAATAAAATAACTTATCTTTCTTTTTATAGTTTATTCCTCCTTCTCTAACTTATGCCAGATGCATTTTCCTATCCTCTAAATACTTGCAATTTATCTTTAATGCCATTATTGATGTCTCTTTCCTTTTATTCAATTGGCTACCTCCAAATTTCCTTCTTTATCTTTTATTCTTCCATACCTCCAAAATAATACCTAAATGTAAAAGTAGCTAATAAAAAAGTCTCACTATATGCCCAAGTCTATTTTTTTATTTCCTTTAAATGGTTTCTAATTCATAACACACACATCCAATAATTTAAGATTTACTGCAAAGATCAAAATGAGGAATGGTAAAAATAAAGGAAGAAAAAATTATAGGCTAAAAATGTAGAAATGGGCCCCTATTTGTATATATCACAGAACCCTATGAAAGTAAGGCAAAAGAAATACTAAAAGTCATTACAAATCTTTATATATTGAAAAGATTTTAAAGCTCTATTTAGGGATCCACTTATAAATAAAATTCCAGTACATCAAACAAATATTATTCTTTGAGTCTGTCACCTTGTAAGTTTTAAACTATATTGTTAAATGATGGGGAAAGAGAAGAAGCGAAATATTTAGAACTAATGTCTGAATATTCTAGAACATCCAAATGTTTTTTAGTGTTAAGGCCAGATCCTATCATAAAGATCCTATCAATAAGAAATAATTGTAATGAGGATCTTCCTCATGTATTCCTTAGCTTGGTTAAGTAGTACACCCAGTCTTCCAAGTCAGAAATTTGGGTGTCAATTTAGACCTTTCCCTCTCCCTCATCCTAATTCTTTCCAGACCTGTGACTGATATGACCACTTATGTGTCCTAAGTGATCGTCCTATCTGTTCTCTCCATTCCCTCTGCCACTGCCTTAGTCTAACCCTTTCCCCTCATCTTATCTATTACAACAGCTACCCCTAACATTACTATGCCTCTATTTACTATGATCCTTACTCCATGCTGTCATCAAGTGATTTTCCAAAATGCCAACCTACTGTCTCTTCCACCCAAAACCTTTCTCTATGTCCCTATGTAGTCAAAGATTTTGAGTGGAAGAGACAGGTTTTTTGAGGATTTGAATCCTTCCTACCTCTCAAACTTCATATCCCATTACATCACCCCCAATCTGCACTTTAAGCTTCATCATTATCAAAATACACTGCTTGCATTTCCAGCACACCCAAGCTATTTAACTGCCCCATGCTTTTGCATAAAGTGCTGCTTCAGTCTAGAATATCTTTCATTCTTCCCCCCTTGGCTTCCTGGCCAACTACTATGAATCTTCCAAAACCCAGCTTAGATTCCAGGAAGCCATCCCAAGACCCTACCCCCTATCTATCTTTAAGAATTAAATATTTCCTTCTCTGCCAACTTTGTAAATAATAATGCATTTGTTGAGCATTTACTATGTGCCTGACTCTGTTAGAAGCTTTTTCATGTACTAACTCATTTTATCTTCACAATAACCCTTCCTATGAAGTGGTACCATTATTACCTATGTGGATATGGAAACTAAACCATAGACAATTAAATAAGCTGTCCCCAAAGATGCCCAACTATTAAGTGATGGATACAAATTAAATCTTAACAGCATACATATTTATATTATTGCACCTATCACAGTGAATTTATTTACATGACTGCCTTACCCTGAACTATGAGCTCCCTGTAGGGATTATGTCATATTCAACTCTGAAATCATACTCCCTTGTATAAAGTGTGTAATCAGTACATGCATTTCTTGAGTTCATATAAAATAACATTCCTAACAAGCTCAAGAGAAAACCACTCAGAAACTAGTTTCCAAGTATGCTGTACGAGTTCTAGAATAGAGCAAGCCATTTTTTCCAACTAATAGAAAGAATGTCAAATAGAGAGGTTAAAACAGACATGAGATTATAGTTCTTGTGGACAGTCAAATAGACTTATTTTTGCAGTCATACTGCTTAATAAATCAAAACCTAAAGGACCCTTTGCTTAACATTAACTTTTTCTCTCTCACTAAATAAGAACTCTTACTGATCATTCAGGGCAGTGAAAAGAAAGCCCTAAATTTACTTTGCTCAAGTGGAAAGAAACAAATCATAGACCAGCACTACTAATTGCTTCCTTAAGTCTGGCCAAGAAATGTATCCCATTAGGCAATTAAAATAAAACACAGTTGCCTGACTAAGCATATAGCAAAAGAATTCCTAAGGTTATGTAGATTGGCATTCCATTAATTCAAATAATGAAAAATTCTTTATCTTAAGAAAAATGAAAAAAAATTTAAGAAAAAATAACATTATCACCATACCACAAGAATATAGATTCTTAAAGTTAAAACATATGTATATGTTTATAATATTCCAATAGCTATTCTGTTGCCTTCAAATTATAAAAATCAAAGTTATTCTAACACGAATGATGAAATACTTTAAGTCCAAATCTACTGTATTTTAGTATGCTCTCACAGTCATGCTCTCTGAGCCATGCTGAAGTGCAATAATGAAAACCCAGAGGGACAATACCAGCAGCAACAATGCACACATTACCTGTTAGAGTAATCTGCACCCTGCCCTGCTTCTACACACTTGCACACTACAGGAAGGTAAACCTGTCAGCAGCAGTGAGTTTAGGCCACAGCAGAGCAAACTCTACCCGCAGGCATGTCTTACCATTTCTTGGTGCACTCGACCATCAGCTCCTGGTAGGAGGCCACAAACTGGAACTTGGATGCATGTTTTCCTACACGCTGCAGTCTCTTCCACACTGAAGCCATGATGATCAGTCAATCCACTGGAGCAGTTCTGGATTGGCAACACAGCAGCTTCAACAAAGCAGAGGTTTCCAGAGCAAAAAAAGCTTCGCATGTATGTCTCTGTTACTTTTAAAAACTCATCTACCACTTGAAATGATGTCTGGGGTCCATAAGTCATCTCCCTGCTTCACAGGGTAAATCCCATCTTAGAGAGGAATGGCCCAGCCAGGAACAGAGTGATAGACATGACAGGATGAGTGAGTGGAGGTTCCCTCATGGAGACATCACCATCCCATGTCAGAGGCTATGAAAACGTGTATCCCGAGAACTGAAAGGCAAAATAAAGAGAAAAAATAAATATATATATGAGAGAAACATGACAAGCGACTAACCAACCACCCACCCACGTCTGATCACACTGCAACAGACTTCCCCAGTTGTCCACACGTTTCCAAACAATGAAACAAAACACCGACCTCAAAAGCCAGTAAGTAACATGAAAGATACAAGACACCAAGGAGGAGGGGGAAAAAATGACAATCCACACTTAGGACGTGGAGCGGCGGTACATCACACCGGGTCCTCAGCATCCCCCACCCGGCATCACCGAAGGGCGAGCAGGGCGGGAAAGTGCAGGGATGCTGTTCCCTGTCCACGGCCAACGGGAGGAGTGGAATTATTTTAAAATAAACTTTGTGTGGGTTTTTTTTTTTTATTTCCCACCCGATAATTCATAGCCTCGAGTCCTAGAAAATGTGCTTGGAACAAATGAAGGAGCGGGGAGGAATGAATGCTGCTGCGGAGTCGGAGGGGGCGATGGATGGGGACTGAGGAGCGGAGGGGAATCTCCGGGCGGAGGGAGGGCAACGTCCCGGCTGCAGGCCCCCGGGGCTCCCCTGCCCTCCGCTGCCAAGCGGAGGGGAATGGAAACTCCTGCCCGGGCGGGGGGGCGGCCGAGAGGCGGCGGCCAGCGGGGTACAGAGTGCGGGGTGCAGGGTGCGGTGCCTCCTCCCCCATCCTCAGGGACGGTCCGCCGGGGCCGCCTCCGTCCCCGCCCGGAGCCCGGAGCCCGGAGCCCGGAGCCCGGAGCCCGGAGCCCGGAGCCCGGAGCCCGGAGCCCGGAGCCCGGAGCCCGGGGACCCTGGAGGCAGGCGGCGGCCCGCCCGCCCTCCCGCGGTCCCTGTCACCCCGGCGATGCCGGGAGATGCCAGCCCGGCCCCCGCCGCACGTCCACTCCGGCCCCTCCTCGCCCCTCGAACCCCGCCGCTGCCGGGCTGAGTCTAGAGCCCCGTACCCGCCTCCTCAGCGCCGCTCCTCCGCCGCCGCCACCGCGTCCTCCATCCCCGCCGCCGGAGCCACATGGAACAGCCGGGCCGGCCGCCGCGGCGCTCGCTCGAGGGAGCCCGGCTCCGCAGCCCCTCGGGCGGAATGGACGGAGCGCCTCACGCCCGCCCCCTCCCGGACGGAGTCGCCCCGCGAGCGTCCCCCCTCCTCCCCCCCCCCACCCGACAAAACCCCAGCCGGAGCCGGAGCCGCCGCCGCTCAGCGCCCAGCGCCCCCTCCCCCGCCTTCCCCCTCCTCCGCCGCCACCATCATTACCTCCCCCGCCGCGCCTCTCACACTAACCTACCCGCCGCCGCGGCGCAACCGCCGGCCGCCCCGCCGCCATTGGCCGGCCCCGCGCAAGCCCCGCCCAGCGCGGCGGCATCCCTCTGATCGGCGGGGCCTCTTCATTGGCCCGTCCGAGTGCCCATCACAGGGGCTCCACTCCCAAGCTCTGGAGGTGTTTTCCGCCCCCCCCCCAACCCCCACCAGCCGGAACGCAGCACACCAATCCATCCTTCTTATTTAAAAAAAATAAAAATAAAAGAATTGGAAGTTACTAAGGACGATCCCGCCCATCCCTCTGATTGGCTCCGAGCGGGAAGCGGCCGGCGGGAGGAGTGAGGAGTGTTTATGGAGACCGGGAACGTGGTTGCTGAAGGTGAATGCCTGTCAGCCGCGAGCCCGGAGCCGGGAGGGGTTCCCGGCGGGGTCGGCGGAGGGAGCGCGCGGCGGGGCTGCCTGCGCTGCAGCGGGGGGCAGTGCCCCTGCTGCTGGGTTTCCCTCTCTCTCCGTCTCCCATCCCCACCCCAGGAGCTGGGTGCGCCCTCTCCTAAGCAGCGAGGGTGTGTGTGTGTGCACACAGCCTTGTTTTCTCACCCGATGTCTGCAGGCAGACTGAAATTATGGCCCTGCCAGTCCCTCGCGCCTAACATTCAATCAACTGGTCCTCAGCGGGACTCGATGGCACAGAATGTTGACGGTGCAGTTTCTTCTGGTCCTGGTTTTCCAACATTTCCTTGAATCTTGTGGGTCTTCCCGCCCTCCCCCCCCCCCCCGTAGGAACTTGTATCGATACATGGGTTTGGGAGTGGCTGGCATTTAAAAAAAAGGTAGTTAATAGGCAAAGGGGAGGATAAAATAATCTAAGAAGAGTGTGAGGGCAGGGGCAAAGGACTCCTTTGGGAATATGATGAAAGCTCTTAGATGCTTTCCCAAGGAGGAAAAAAAAAAAAGGTCCAGTCACAAATTTGCTTTCAGACATCTGGTGTAGAGAAAGAGGACAAAGAATGGTGTTGGGGGTGGGAGGGGGGGGTGTCCCAACATTTTAGGAATAAGCAGAGAAAGTGAGAAAGAGGAGGAGGAGGAATGGTCAGAAAAGTAAGAGCACCCTACAAGCAACTGGCAAACATAGCGTGTCCCCCAAAAATAAATACACACACGTTGAATAATTATAAAGGCGTATTTATGAAAATACATTTCATTTTCAAATTGAGCTATCAGCGGTTAAAGTGTGTATACATTTTTGGGGGACACCCTGTAGTGTCCAAAAAGAAGGAAGCTAATATAAAAAAGAAAATAAGGATGGGTTCTGGAAACACTAAGGGTTATTAATCTTACTAAGGATGGGAGAGTAGGCTGCATGGACAAAGTAGCTTGAAAGGTGTTAGGGTATAGATATAGATTCTTTGAGAGACTCAACAGAAGAGCATTGATGGGTGAGAACTGAACACATCGATAGAGATATTGGGGGAAAAGAAAGGAGAAAGATGTTGAAGAATCAACAGAGATAGGGAGACAGAAGACTTGAATCCAGTATCTAATTATTTCCATTGCAGTACAGAAAGTAAACCAATGTGCATTTTAAGATAAGGACATACTAGTAAATTATCACTTATTTTGCTATCGTAATAATTATAAAATATTAAGACAACCATAGTAATTAAATTGATTCTTATTTTTTGTGTACATCTCAGTAATCCTGAGTGGTTTATTAAGTCTCTCCAACCTACAGCCATTATGATCCAACTAGAGACCAGAGGCACGAAATTCATGTAAGGGGGTTCAGCTTCATCCGGAAGGTCCTCGGGTTATTCTGCTGTTGGGCTGTCCAGGCTAATTAGCATATTACGCTTTTCTTATTATAGATACCGTGATATATTCTGCATCATTAACAGACTTTTAAGTGTATGGGTTTTTTTAAATAGCTGATTTATTTTTTAAAGGTTTTATTGATTTTTTTTTTCCAGAGGGAGAAGAAGGGATAGGGAGAGAGAAATGGCTAATTTAGAAACATAGTCAAACTATTTTCATCTAAGTTGCCCTTCAGAAACAATCCTTGTGATGATCAAGAGGGTTTTACATCCTATTTATTATTGTTCTTCAGAAGTTCTCAAATTTTCTCATGTGGTCATCCTGGTTCTATGTCCCTGCCTCAAGAAAAGCAAAAAAAAAAAAAAAGAAGAAGAAAAAAAAAGGAGACTTTATGGCAAAGAAATTATCTTAAAAGCAACCTGTTTTAAGTAAGTATCTTTCTTTTAAAAAGGAAGAAAATAAAAGAACTATGCTGAGCCCTCCCACCCCCAGGGAATCTTTCTCAAGTTGTAGGAAACTTAGGAGACCACAGTTTCTTAAAAGACAGCTCTTCTTTGTGAGAGAAGTATTTTTCTTGGATATAAACTCTTATTTTTCAGTCTTGCTGCAGAGGTAGCTAAGAAGAGACGAAGGAATTGAAGCAGACCTTGACATTGTTCAGCTGCTGAGCTCAAGTTCATAGGCTGGCTCCTGAAAGCTCCAGAGAGCAGCTACTTCTCCCCTCATAACTTAAAAAAAATAAAATAAATAACTAAATGTATTGAAGAACCTTCAATATAGAATATTTTAATGTATTTTGCCCAGGAGGCTGATAATTATTGAATATCAACTGATTATTGGTCATATTAAGTACTATTATTAGTACATAAGAGATACAGTCCCAGTTCTCTAAGAGTTTTCAGAAACAGATGTTCAGCAAGAAAGCAATATGAGTTACTTAAGTCTCTGAGTTCCAGCATTGTATTCTGTCAAAGGAATAAACATGCCTATCTTCCTGGGATGGTGAGAAGATGCAAGATATGTATGTAAAGTACCTGGTGCATAGGAAACAGTCAACAAATGGTAATTGATAATATACACTATTGTGCTTGGTAGCAAATTCAAACATCAAGAAAAAAACAACACAGAACTCCAATCAATACTTAGTTGTTGCCGAAACCGGTTTGGCTCAATCGATAGAGCGTCGGCTTGGGGACTGAAGGACCCGGGTTTGATTCCGGTCAAGGGCATGTACCTTGGTTGCGGGCATATCCCCAGTAGGGGGTGTGCAAGAGGCAGCTGGTCGATGACTCTCTCATCGATGTTTCTAACTCTCTATCTCTCTCCCTTCCTCTCTGTACAAAATCAATAAAATATATTTAAAAAAAAAATACTTAGTTGCTACCAAACATCACTACTTCCAAGACTAAAGGATCTCAAAAGAAACAGTGCATTTAATATTGTTCCTTTCCTATTACTCAGTGATTACCAACAGTATAATACCAATCATTTCTGTGAACTCAGGATTTCATAATAATTACTAAGAATTCACTTACCCTCAATCCTCACGACTACCTTTTATGTCATTTAATAGCTGAGATCTGTTGGCATGCTAGAAGTTACCC